TGAACCCAGCACTCTCACATTACCTTCATCAATGCTTACGATAACCGAAATAATTTCATAATTATACTCCCATTTTAGAGAGAGTAACTGACTTGCCCCAAGGTTGCATAGCTAATTAGGGGTAGAGATGGGATTTCGGTGAGCCATGAGGGTTGTCTGGCTGCTTCTTGAGGCTTATGTGAGGTCTAAAGATACTGAGGGAGCCACCTGGATATCTGCAGGCAGTTTCCTCACAGAGGGAGCTGCCAGGGCAAAGGCCCTAAGGCAGGAACAGTGAGGAAGCTGGTATGGCTGGAATAGAGTGATGCAAAGGAAGAGTGGTAGGAGATGAGGTCACCAAAGTAGTAGCCAGGAGCCAGGTTCTAGAAGGCTTGTAAATATGTTCAGTGTTGTGTTCCAACTCAGAGTATTTGCTGGGTGGCAGGGTTGAGGAGGATTCTGAGGCTGTGTTCAAATTCAGTGGGACAGAGTGGTATGGGTCTGGAAGAACCTGTGTCCTGTATTTGTTGTCTCTGGTCTAGGGATCAGAGAATAGTTAGAATTACTGGAATTACTAATATAAGCTGTTGAATCCCCTCTTCTGGTGTCTCATGCCAGATGCTGGCCTTCCCTAAATGCATGGCCCTGAGTGATAACAGGGAATGAGATTATCATGGAGCTGGGGTGACTGAGTGAGGACTCCAAGAATCAGAAGCTTCTTATCAACTTCTGACCAGGGCCAGGGGCCAGGGACCAGGATCTGTCGCTCCCTTTCTGCCTATGCCCCTCCTGAGAACACAGAGTCCCCCGGGTATCCCAAGGCCCTCTGTCTTCTTGACAGTTACTTCACCCTGTCAGCAAGTAAAGAAGTCACATTCAAGATTATTGAGATTCTGAGGCAAAGACCCCACTATCCATTCCCACAGCCCTCAGGAGAGCAGGTCGGGTGGGTGATCAGAGCCCTTGTTGAACTGGCCTCTGGGTAAACTCTCTTGCTCTTCTTTCCTCTGCCTCTTCTGCACCAGCAGCTAGAGGATCTTGTAAAAGCCAGTCAGAGCAAGTCTTTCCTTTGCCCAATACCCCCAGTGAGGCTTGTCTCATGTGTCAAAGTCCTTGTGTGGCCTACAGACCCCATGTGATCTGCACCTCACCTCTCTTATTTCCTCTCTTCCTCCTTATCCAGATCACTCTGCACCAGCACCTGGCCTCCCTGCTAGTCCTCAAACCTGCCAACGGTGCTCCTGCCTCAGGGCCTTTGCACTGGCAGTTGCCCTTACCTCAGTGCTTTCCCTCCAGATGTCCCTATGCTCACTGCTTCACCTCCTTTAATTCTGCTCCAATGTTACCTTCTCTGACCTCCTATTTAACATGGCGGGCTTCCTCTCATCTCTATCTTGGCTCCCCCATGCCCCTTACTCTGCTCCATTCCCTCCCCCCATTCCACTATTATTGCCTGAAAGATGTTATCATTTGCTTATTTACTGTGCTTACTATTAATTATCTTTCTCTCCTTGCAATAGAATCAATCTCAGCTCTCCTTCTGGGGATCAGGGTTTTTTGCCTGTTTTGTTGGCTGATACTTCCCCAGCCTTGAGAACAACACTTGGCACAAAGGAGGCCCTTAAAGACATTTGTTGGGCAGGTGAAGGAAATGCATGTTCTATATATGCACCACCGAACACAGTAGCTACATGTGGCTATTTAAATTTAACTTCAAATTAATTAAAATTGAATCAAATTAAACATTCAGTTCCCCAGTCACACTAGTCACATGTGGCTAGAGGCTACCACATGGGACAGGGCAGCCTCCGAGCATCCCCCGCCCCGTCCCAGAGTTCAATCGGATGGTGCTCTTCTAAAGCATGCTGAGCACTCCAGCAGGAGGTAGGCCCTTTCCTATATGAGCCCCAGCACCCCAAACTGATGGGGCCAGGCCAGAGAACACTGTCCAGCTCAGGGACCACTCCTAGAGGTTTCCAGAGGGCTTCTGAGTTCTCTTTCTCCCCACAAAGTCTCACAGTGACTTTGGACAGCTTCATCCCTTCATTTTGGTTCTTCCAGCTTCTCTTGGCTCCTCGGACCTCAGGTTCAGTGGGGTCTTTTCGGGGTTCCTCTGGGCCTGGCTCAAGATCACATGCCCCCGGAGTGCTCTGACTCTGCTTTGCCAAACGGAGGCTCTGGGTCCCCGTCTGGTTCTCTGTTTCTGAATCCTCATGCTTGCTTTTCCACTTCCCCTCTATTAGTTACACTTCTGTTGCCTAACTCTATTAAGAAAAATCCCCGATAAATCCAATCCCAATGATAAATATCACCCCTCCCAGGAATACCTACCACTAGAAAGAAAGAGAAGGTGCAGAGGCAGCAGAGTGCTGTAGTGATGAGCAGACCCTGGAGCCAGCCTGCTGGGTTCAAATGCTGGCTCCACCACTTAACAGCTATGAGAGCTTACCACGGGCAGTCTCTTAACCTGTCTGTGCCTTAGTGGCCTAAAAATACCCGATTTCTGTAAAATGGCACTTATAAGCTCTGCTTTATAGGGTCATCATAAGGTTTACATGAGTCATGATTCACAAAGAACTTGGTCAGTGTCTGGCACAGAGAAGATCCTCTTGAGGATCTATTATATAAAGGAGTTGGTGATGCTGAACCAAAAGAAATGGATCTCTTATGCTGGAAATGCAGGCCTCGGGGATTTGTGGCTGGCAAACCTCACACCAGCTAAAAAGTGGGAGACCTGTGCTGTGCCTGGGTCCTGGCTGGGCTGGCAGGGAGGCATGGTGCCTGGGACACTCACCACACGGACCTGTGTCCCCCACCCTCCGTGTGACTCCAAGAATCTTTTTCTTTCGGAAGACATGTGGTGACAGCATTAGTTAAACCCTGGCTGAGTGATTGCAGAGATGTCTGGAAATCAGGCCAAAGTGAGGCAAGCCCCAGCAAGCTGCTTCTGTGCTCACCTTCCCAGAGTAAGGGCTTACCTGGTGACAGGTGAGGGTCTGACCTGCGGAGACCTTTCCTTTGCTCCCTGACTCAGGAAGCATGGCACATCCAACCATCCAGCTGCCTGGCAAGGGCAGGGGAAATCGCCAGGTCCTGTGTTTGGCTGGGACTACAGTGCCAGTGAGAGAGTTTCACCTGCTCCACGGTGCTCCTTCATGGAGAGGATGGAGCCAGGAGGTCAGGGCCAGAGCACTGGTCCTGGGTCATCAGGGTTCAAAGCTTGGCGCCATCACTTACTGGCTGTGTGACCTGGGGCAAGCCACTCAACCTCTCTGTAAAGGGGGACAGATGACAGGGCCTCCCTCACAGAGTCGTTATGAGGACTAAAGGAGTCAGTTCCTGATGTATGAACGGTGCCGGGTCCCTTGTGAGCACTCAGCATATGCTAGCTGGTGGTGACTGAGGGTGTCGTCTGGTCCCAAGGCGGGCGGACGGATGAACCCAGCTGGCGTGAGGTTAGATTCAGTTCCAACTAGGGAGGCAGGCATGCAGCCCAGTGCAGGGGCAGCCGTCTGAGACCTGGCGGTCTGTCTGGGTGCCCTCGCTGGCCCAGTCTGCCCTCCGGCCCAGGTGCTTGTCTGGCTGACTCCCTGATGTCGGCTGGTCTGTCCCGCCTCCCCTGCCATCTCCACACACAAACCTCAGGAACGCTGCCTGAGAGGGGTACAAATACCTCTGCAACAGGCTCCTTTGGCTGTCAGCACCATGGTCCCACGGGTCAGGGACAGGCCGGGCAGCCTGTCCAGCTCACACAACCTCGAGTGGAGGGGAATCCCGGCTCACGTCTGTGTCCTGATAACTGCCACTTCTCCCACAGGCCCCAAGCCAACCCCAGGGGACATGCAGAACAAGGTGCTGTTTTGTTTGCTTGTTTTTGGCCACATTGGGGCTTCTCTCAAATCGTGCAGTGGCTCTCCCATCCCACCTTGAGTTTCTACTTTTCCAGAATTAACATTCCCATTCCTTCTGACATTTCCTCAGGCCCCAGTTTCCTCTTGCCTCCCAGCTGCTCGCCTCTGGTCACATGCCAGTCTGTGACTTTCTGGGGCGTTCTGAGCACTGAGAATGGGGTCAGATGCCACCTTCCCTGATCAGATGTCAGACTTCTCCTGAGCCTCCCCCACTCCCACCCAAGACTGCATTGGACTTTCTGGAAGCAGCATCCCATCTGTGGCTCCCACTGAGCCTGCAGTCAGTGGAAATGCCCTGTGATTAGCCCAGGGTTGCTATGAAGCCCCCTTGTTCCCATTCTGTTCCCCTAGAGCAGCATCTCTATCATTGCTGGCTCATTTCTTGCCACTGCAGCCACCCAGGCGGGCTCCCCAGCCCACAGCAGGCCTCTCTTTCTGTGTGTCTTTAACTTTCTTTCTGTCTCCCTTCATCCAAGTCTCGATGGATGTGAAACTTCTCTCTGTATTCACTTGTCCTTAGCTCCCAGCCCCCAAGGACTGGGTTGGCATGTCTCAGAGGAAAAAGTATGGGTTTTGGAATCAGACAGAAATCTCTCTTTGAAGGTCGGTTCTGCCCCCAACCATGTGACTCTGGATCATTTTCTGTCTCTGAACCTCTTAGCTCATGTGTGAGATGCGGATAGCTGTACCAGCCTCCTGTGTGAGTGTGAAAAATTAAAGGCAGTGGGGAGAAGCAGGGCCGCCCCTTCTGCTCCCTTCCCAGGACCACTTAGTACCCCAGTGAAGAGGACGATTACGATGATAGTTGGCTTTTTTCTCCTTGAGGAGCTGAGAAAAGCTTGCTCACTAACAATTCATCACTTACAGAGAAAAACACAGAAGGTGTCAGACCAATTATACCTTGTTGTAAACACAGGAGTGTTCAAAATAAAGATTCCCCACCAGCTGCATTCAAAATGAACCCGAACAACTGTCAGACCTCAGGTCAGTGCCGCCCAATGATGTACCTCATCCGACAAATCCCCCGGTTGGCAGATCCATCATTTCATGGGGGCGCCACCCAGGGATAAAGTCACCTGTGGCACCAACCTCCTTAAAAGTGTTATCACAGTGCTCACTCCAGCTGCACGTGCACTAAACTAGAATGATACAGAGATGCGTACAGCCCTTGCACATAGATGACATGATAATTCATGAAGCATTGCATATTTTTATGAAATTCTGACACAGGCTACAACATGGATGAACCTCGAGGACATTCCACTAAGTGCAATCAGCCAGCTACAAAAGGACAGCTACGGCACGATTCCACTTACACAAAGTACTGAGAGTGGTCAAGTTCAGAGAGACAACAAGTAGAAAGAAGGGTGGCTGCCAGGGGCTGGGGGGCGGGGAAAGGGGGGCTGGTTGTGTGAGTGGTGCGGAGTCAGAGTGTGGGGCGATGGAAAGTCAGGGGATGGGTGGCGCACCTGCACAACAGTGTGAAAGTACTTCGTGACACTGAACTGCACACTCACAAATGCCTAAATTGTCAATTTCATGTTCCATATATTTTAACACACACACACACACACACACACACACACAATGCCCCCCTGCAAAATGCCATCACAAAGCAAATTCTGCCAGGAGGGTAGGACAAAGAGAGATTGCTGGAAACAAATTTGCCGCGTCCATGTGGCTGATGCACACTCAGCGGGCGGTCACCATCATCAGGGACTTCCTGGCTCTGTTGTCCGTGCGCTCGGTTGGCCCTGTCAGATCAGGGACGGGCAGCATGTGGGGAAGGGCCTGGGTGGAATAGGGTGGCCCCTGGCCTTGTATTTGCACTTCTCCATCTGTCCTGGTGGTTGAAGAACGGGGCAGCTCCAGAGCAGAACTTGGCCTGAATCTAATGGGTGCAAAGAGGTTGCGGAAGAAAATCACGTGGTGTTTCATGGTGTCCGCTGTGGTGTTGGCTGGACCTGGGTTCAATTCCCCCCTGCCAGTGATTAGCTTTGGGACGCCAGGAAGATTATGTCACCCTCTCTGCGTGAGTTAAATAGCAAAGCTAGTACCTGCTTTGTAGGAACACTGTCAGGATGAAATGAGGTAAAGTGTGTGAAACGCTTGGCAGGATGCCTGAACAGGAAGCACGATGTTCTGTTTTGATGATGGGGGGAAGTCAACGCTGACCCTTGATAGAAGAAATCAAGATGAAATGAAGTCCTCAGTCATCTCATGGCTGAATATTAGGGTCCTGCCTTTCCCCCCTATTATAATCCCCCCTCTCTGTCAGATGAGAAGCTCCTTGAAGACGGGAATTTTCTCAACCCCGAGGTGGAATTTGTGCCGTGTGGGAAAAATTCACTGACTGTGCAGTGTAGGTAAGTCCCTTCACATCACAGCTCCAAGCCTTACTCAGTTTTCTTGACTGCAAAATGGGTTCATAATATTAATCACAAGGTATCTCTGTGAACATTAAACACAGTACTGGTTCAGTACTGGACACCGTGCTTAGAACGTGTGTGTGTGTGCAGTCAGAAGCAGCCATGGTGATGCTGGGGTTTGGTGTCTGGAGACCAGGTTCCATTCCTGGCCCCCCCATCAGCTAGCTGAGCAATCGCGAACAAGGAGACCTCACTCGTCCAGATCTCAGCTTTGTCGTCTGTCCCATGGAACGCTAATCCTGCTACCTACCCCCAGAGGACTCTTGGGCAAACCTAGGAAGATGGGAGTCTCCTGGGATGCAGCTCGTAAGTGGTGAAGTGGTCACAAATGTGAGGGGTCGTTCAGCACCCATGCACGAACCAGTGACAGAGAAACTGCCCGGGGCTTCCTTGAGGGTTGCTCCAAGCTGCGTGGCTGGAGGCGGGCCCCCACAACCGAGTGGACTGCTGGACACCTGGCTGCCCAGGCGGCAGCATCACTCTGCTCCTGCCTCCCCCCGGCGGAGAGATAGCTGTTCCAGCCGGTGGACTGGAGGAGCCTGCTCAGCACTTCTCTGGGCTGCACTTCTGCTGATCCTCCCCGGGACACCACTGCCTCTCACAAGCAGGCTGGCTGGGAAGGAATTAAGGGAGGGAGAGAATGACCTCTGGAGGGAGACCTCCCCACAGTGGGGAGGCTACTCCGCTCAGCCAAGTGGGAGGGAGGATGGGGGCACAGAGCTGTCCCCAGTCATCAAATACCTTCTGGTCCAGGCTGGATGGACAAGGTTCTAACCCTGGCTTTGTCACGGACTGGCTGTGTGGCTGTCAAGCAACTTTTCTTCTCTGTGTTTCAATGCCCAATTCTGACATTCTAGGATTCTATAAGAATATCACCAGAAGAGAGGTGACAGGAGCCAGGGGGAGGCAGGAGGAGGACAGGTGGGCTACAGCCAGCAAAGGGCTGTGGGAGCTCGAGCACCAGATTCCCAACCCTGAGAGCACATAGGATTTGGCATCTGAGTGACCTGGGCTGTGAGCTCAAATCCTGCCTCACACCTCACCGACTGCCTCATCTTTACCCTGTTGCTTAACTTCCCAGAACTTCATTCTTCTTGTTTGTAAAAGCTGTGTGCAAATCTAAATTGCATGGTCATATGAGGATTAGAAATAATGTATGCAAAATACTGGCATACAATATATACTCAATAGATCAAGTATGAATATGGTGAATGCTTACCCTACTTTATCACGTCTATCATCTATCTATCTTTCTATCTCTCCATCTATCTCTATGTATCTGTCTGTCTACTGATCTTTATCATCACTATCATCTTTTTCATAGAGAACGCTAGCACCATCCAACCCACCCATCTCCCAGGAGGAGCTCTTGCAGTGGCAGATGAGCTGTCTGGGGGCACTGGTAGGTCGTCTGGGGGTTCAGGGGCTCAGTGCTGAGAAGATGAACCTTACTGTGGGACTTACTCATTAGCTGGGAGCTCTCAGGTGAGGCCAGCCTGGTCTAGAGTGCCCTGTCCTGGTTCGACCTGGGAATACCTAAAAGTAGCAGGATTACTATCCTCTCCCTCCCAAGCCCCCCTCAGGCCTGGGTAGCAGTTCCTATGGGGACAAGGAGCACAGAATAGAGCCACTAAACGAACTTCAGTGTCCCTGGAGGATGACCATGTGGGTCTGTGATCTTCTTATATGGAAGTAATCATGTGAGTAAATCATGGGTGAATACTTTACAGACTTAGGTCTATAATTTTCTGGGTGTCTCTCTAGCACTGTTATTGGGGTATATGTGTCTGAAGCCCCAGGGATTGGCATGCTTTCCTCCTTTTCCTGGTCTGGCTGTGGAGAGGCCCTGCTGGGCTGCAGGTGGAGCAAGGCTCATGAGGACCCCCTCCTGTCCCTCTTTCCTACACACAAGGTAGGATGGAGGATGAAGCTTCTGGCAGGGTGGCTGTGTGAGTGTCCATTGGCCAGTGTGTGCCTGAGTGTGTGCGTTCATTGGCCAGTGTGAGCATGTGAGTGTGTGTCCATTGGCTGGTGTGTGTGTGTGCGTCCACTGGCCAGTGTGTGCTTGAGTGTGGGTCTATTGGCTGGTATGGAAGCACCCTTGCTGTGTGAGCAGAGGGGAGGGTGTTGGCTTGAGGCCATGAACCTATGTGAGCATTTGAATGACTCAGAGCATTTAAGATGTCCTTGAGGGGGGGCTGCAAGGCTCCCAGGACCTGGCCCCACTCCTTCCCTGCCCCATCTCCTAGACTCTGCCCCTCGCTCTCCTGCTGTACCCAACCAGGCCCTTCACTGCTCCTCACACCGGCTCTGGCCTTGGGGCCTGACCTCTGCTGTTCCCTCTGCCAGGAATGCCCTTCCTGCAGACCTGGGCTTGGCTCACCTCCTTCGAGCCTCTACCAGGCCTCACCTTCTCAGGGAGGCCCACGCCAGCCGTCCTGTGTAAGCTTGCACCTTGCCCACTGCCCCAAGCCCCTTACCCTGCTCCTCTCTCCCCTGCAAAGCACTCACTGCCTCTCCACACCTAGATAATTTGCTCATTTATTGTGCTTGTTGCTTGCTTCCCCCATGAGGACAGGATCCTCGGTTGTTTTGCTCACCAATGCATCCCAAGCACCCAGAATGGAAGCATTTATATTCTGGCATATTTGCTTCCGGTTTCTCATTTGTAACATGGGGACGATAATAGAAGCTCTCCACTTCATAGAGTTGTCGGCAGATTAGATGAATGAATACCTAAAGCACTGAGAACAGTGCTTGGCACATAGTTCAGTAAATGTTGGCTATTATTATTATACCCCATCACAGCTGGGAGTCAGGAGATGAGTGATCTGTGTGAAGGGCCCAGCAGAGGGGAAGGGGCTCACAGGGCTCCCACCTACCTTGTAAAATTTCCCTGACCTCCCACAGTCCTGGAACCCATATTATTGGACCCCCTTTGGCTTAGGGAGTTAGTTATCAGTCTATTCGTTACTTTTTTTTTTTAATCAAGACAGGAAGCCAGGCAGCCCCAGCCTGCACACCCTGGGCTGCCGGCTCCCAATCCTATAGGTAGTTAGCAGAATGTGACCAGCAAGCACATCTTCTGATGGCTGTGGTTTCTGTTCAGACCACGCAGGACCCCAGCTCTGACCCAGGAGTTGGATGCCTGGATTCTTCTCTCAGCCTAGGGACCCCTAACAGGCTGTAGGACCCAGGACAAGGCCTGTGTCCCCTGTCTGGGTCTCTGCTCTCCCTGGGCACAGCAAGGGGTTGGGATTAGACCATTTCTGAGGTCTTTCCAGGCTGGTCCGTTCATCCAAGAAATGTTCCCAGAGCACCTGTTATACGCCCGTACTGCTCCAGGCACTGGGGATATAGCAGTGACCACTTGACACAAGTCCCTGCCTTGTGGAGTTGACATTCTGGGCGGGGGGAGAGGGGAAGTAAATAATAAACATAATTGGTAAATGAGTGAATGTGTCATAAGATGGAGCATGCTATGGAAAAAAGGGAAAAATGTAGCAGGTTAAAAGAAGGTAAAAGTGTGATGGGGTGCCTGGGTGGCTCAGTCGTTGAGCGTCTGCTTTCAGCTTAGGGGCCCTGGGATCGAGCCCCGCATTGGGCTCCCTGCTCCGCAGGAAGCCTGCTTCTCCCTCTCCCACTCCCCCTGCTTGTGTTCCCTCTCTCGCTGTCAAATAAATAAATAAAATCTTTTTTTAAAAAAAAAGGAAGGTAAAAGTGTTGGTGGAGAGAAGGCAGGCTCAGCTCTAGGTGGGGATGACCAGGGAAACCTCCTTGAGAA